GATTCCTGGCCACAGTAGTAGATATAATGGTCTTCTGAGTTAAATTCGCCCATTCCTGTCCACTTAAGTTCACTGATTCCTAAAATATCAATGTTCAGTCTTGCCATCTCATTTTTGACCACGTCAAGCTTACCTTGATTCATAGATCTTACATTCCAGGTTCCTATGCAGTATTGTTCTTTGCAGCATCGAACTTTCCTTTCACCATTGGACACATCCACAACTGAGCATCCTTTTGGCTTTGGCCCAGCCGCTTCACTCTTTCTGGGGTTACTTGTACTTGCCCTCTGCTCTTCCTCAGTAGCATATTGGACACCTTCCGACCTGAGGGGCTCATCTTCCGACATCATATCTTTTAGCCTTTTGATACTGTCCATGGGGTTTTCTTGGCAAAAATACTGGAGTGGGTTGCCATTTCCTTCTCCAGGGGGTCACACTTGGTCTGAGTTCTCTGCTGTGGCCTGTCCTTCTTGGGTGGCCCTCCACGGCATAGCCCACAGCTTCATCGAACCACGCAAGCCCCCTCGGCATGACAAGGCAGTGATCCATGAGTTACCAGTACTGTTTTCATGACAGACCAATCAGTTCTATCAAATGCTTTTTCTGCATTGACAAAGTAGAACACTGAGGACATACATTTCATCTTAGCTAAATGTATTAAATTTACTAGCCTTCTGATGTTCCAAGGCATTAGTCAATCTTTCAAAAAACCTGTCCAATTTTAATATAATTTTAATAACATTTTACTATCATTTTAATATAAGGGGTTAAGATTTTATTTAGTCTATTGGCCAAAATTGCTGACAAAATCTTATAATCACTATTCAGTAATGAAACAGGGCAGTATGATGCCGCACCCTTCTGTAAGAATTAGTGTAACCTGCCCAGGTATCTGATGAATCTTTGTTTTAGTGCAATTTTTTCAGATTTTGTTGGATTTATTCATCACACTGTTCTTACTGTACTGTTTTGAGTTGTAATCTACCTTGAGACTAGGCAAGAAAGATGGGTGATAAATGGGCACAGTGTAGGAAGAAATGGGCACAGTGTTGCGATTAGTCAGATTCCCTCCCCTTTCCCCACATGTAGCAAGCATTCATCCAGTGATCTGCCTGCTTTAACACAGCAGTATGTTTTTCCTCCACCCCTTTCCCATTAGTGTTTAGTGTGCCCCATGACCTGGACTCCAATGTATATATGTGCACAAACAAAACATTCACTTCTTTGAGACAGCTTTATTAAATAACCTACTGAGGACAAAAGGACAGGGGAGCTCAATCTTACTTAAATATCAAAATGCCAGAGAACAGAATACCTGAAGCAAACTGGAGGCATGACTTATAAAGAATCAAGAAAGCCCTCCCCTATTTATGGAACATTTTGCTACAAGTGTCACCAGTAATAATATAGTGCTATCTGAAGCACAAGTCATAACAGGGTACTGGAAATTACCAGTACCTAAAGACATAAGAATAGCCTTGCTTGATCAGACCAGTGGTCCACCTAGTCCAGCAACCTGTTTCACACAACTGCCAACCAGTTACCCCATAATGTTGCCTCCTAGTACTGGATTTCAGAGTTTTGCTACCTCCTCCATCTAGTTTACACTCATTTGCCCTTGAAGCCATTCATACAGGATGAACTGGAGAAAAAGCAACACAGTTAAGGTTGGGTGGCATAAGTGGCAGGATTATGCACAAGAGGATTCAGCAGCAACAAACCCCAATCGAGTAATGTGTACCACATTAACTCAAAAACAATGTCAAGAGACTTCTGGTTTCGGTGATTTTCATGGCGGGCATGCTCCTTCAGTGCTCCGAAAGGAGCGGCCCGTGATGTGGCAGACGGGAGGGTGGCCGGTTGATCTGGACACACACCCCCGGAGTCGTAGGGGACTTCCCAGCCTGGGGCACTGGAGGTTGCCTCCCCTGTTCTGCGGCCATGGGATTGAGGCACTTCCGAGCCCCGATAGGTTCCGTCGCCTCAGCGCCATCATGGCTCCAAGAGGCGCATACTGGGTGGGCAAACAAGAGATCCAGCAAAAATAAAGCTCTCCCTACTTTCGCAGCAGGAGTGAAATGAAGCGTGAGTGCTAATTCCTTTTTGATTGGGTATTTGGTAAAGCGCATATCTGAAGCCCCGAATGCCACCAACGGAGAGGGAGGGAGCTAGTATACACCCCCCCCCCAATTTTAAGTGAAATCTTTTAGCGAGACGGGCTAGGAGAAACAGCAGTGGTCGATTGAATCAAGCAAAGCACAAATTCAATTAAAGTGAACCCCTGAAGCAACTTTTACTGACTTTTAAAAACTTTCCTTGAAATGCTGGATGGGCATATAAGATGGCGACAAGTCCAAGACACTCTCCTGGAATTACAAGATTAACACATCCAGCGGTAAAACCGGAAGTAAATACTGACTTTCCGAACATGCTGGCTGCATTGCACCCTCTGCTGGAGCAGATTTTGATGCGCTCCAAAAACAGCTTAAAGAGACGAACTTAAAAACAGAGGAGACTGCAAAATCAGTGAAAAAGGTTGAAGCCAAAACAAAAATGATTAATCAAAGACAAGGTGATGGAAAAACAAAGATCCTTTGATAAAGACCAACTTTTAAGACTACAAATGGAAAAACCAGCGTTTGTTCTGAGATTTCAAGGTGTTCCTGAACAGCAAGGTGAGAATCTGAAGGAAATTTTAAGTGAAGTGTTGGCCCCAATGACAGGTTTAACGGTGGATACACTGCAAAGCGATCTGGATGTGATCTATCGGACATATCCAGAATTTATTAAGAAAAAGAACCTGCCTGGGGAGATAGTGGCAAGATTCTCTAAAAGATCAACAAGAGACATGCTCAAGGCCACAAATGGGACAACCTTAAAAATCAAAGACAAAGAAATCAGAGTCTTAAAGGACATTCCATTTGAAATAAGAAAGAAGAGGACCCAATACAAAAAACCATTTTTTTGCAGAAAAACTCCACTTCCTACAGATGGATAATACCCAAAGGACTACAAAGATAAAAAAGAAAAGATAAACTCTGTTTTAAAAGTGAAGATACAGCAGAAGAACAAGTTATCAAAGAAGAAACTAGCACATATGGGTAAGGAGGTCCAGAATCTACAGTGAGCAGTAATCCAGAAGAAGACTCTGAATCAGAATTAGGGGCGGCGGCCCCAAAAGTCCTGAAAGTCAAATAGAAACTTCAAAAGAAGAAAAATAAAGGGAAGAAACAGCTATAACAGAATTGTATAAGCTTAAAAGTCTTATTGTTTGAGATGTACCTACTTGATTCAATTATATATTTACCAGTTTGTAATAGAAGCGATAGAAAATAGCTATATTATTTATAGAGAGCTTTAACTAAATATGTATTTAATCATTATATATGATCCTTGTATAGCTTATTTTTAGTTTAGTGTTAGTGTTTGTAGTGTTTTTTGTAGTGTTTGTAGTAAGAAAATAATAAAATATTATATATATTAAAAAAAAACCAGATGTCAAGTGAATGATACTGTGGAATTGTCTCTTAACGACTGGGGCCAAATAAATTAGAGTTAACTTGGAATGGAATGCAAAATATCTGTGTTTGATAATATGGATCAAGATAGGAACATGGTGCTTCAATAGAGGCTTTTCCTTATGGATGGAGGTGGGTCATTGGACAGGGTACATGGTGTCAATATACCAGAAAGAATATATGTTTACTGCTCGATCAAAGAGTCTTACACAGGCTACAGGGCCAATGAAGTATTTCTCCATACATTTCTCCATAAGTATCTGGATGTTTAAACTATCCCTTGCAGCGAAGGGCATTGCTTTGTTTTTTAAGTCACTTAGATAGCACGCATCAGTACAGTGAGTTCTGCCATTAGTACCTGTTGCTTGTCTTGAGGAAAACATCTGGTTAGTATTTACCTTATTAATGACTGTGGATTGGTATCAGCAGAGATTAAACCAAATGATTTAATGGCTTGTTCTGCCTGCACTATATTCAAATGATTTACAAAAAGGAAACACAAAACAAAACTATACAGACTCAACATATAAAAAGACAAACAAAAGTTATACATGGCAGCGCACCTGGTCTTTATTAAACAAAAAACTTCTTCATGTTACATGCCTCTTCCACCTTGATACAATACAGATACCAAAAGAAGTGCACTCTCTGAAGACTATCAGTCTCCTTACTACTTTTCCCTCCAGGCCTGGCTAGGCTGCAGAGGTGCTCTTCCCAAAGCATTTGCCTCTGGCACATGCTGTACAAAGAATACATCCTACACTGCAGTGTCCAAAGAGGTAAATGTGGCCATATAAATAAATGAACTCAGGAGATTTTGGAGTATACGGAGGTGCAATCAGGAATTTCATTGTTGAGAGTAGTTTGTAATCTCTGGAAGGAAGTCCAGGAGCAGCAACAGGCCAATGTCGTTCCCAAACTCACCTTTGATAGGGATGCATTGAAGCAGACTTGATATTGGTTTTTATGCCACTGGGCATCTTACCTAGAGATGGGGAAAGTATGGGGTTTAGTGATGTGATAAAGAGAAAGGCCTACATCTCATAAAAGGAATACAAATTTGGTGGAAATTTATTCCATTCCTTGGCCAGGGACTGAGCCAGGATCTTCCCTGCACACAATTTATGAATGAGGCAGAGCTACTTCCCCTTTGTTTAATTCCCTCCACCTCAGCCGGCTCCTCCACCTTCATCTTCTTCAAGACTTGTTTCAATTAACATACATAAAATTTGCTCTGCCTCAGGCTTATATTTGTTTTTGCATACAAACTGTGAAAAAGCAGGGAGGCTGTCAAATCTCTTGTCTATGGCCCCCCAAGTATCTGTATACCTAAATCTACAGGTTTATACAAAAGTACATATTTAGCTTTACTTAGACAACAGCTTCTCTTGCTGCAACACACTCCCCACATTCCATTTCCCTTCCTTTTGCATTCCAGCGACTTCCCAAAATGTCTGAGAGCTCGCATTTACCTGGCTGGCCTGTTTGTGGCATTTGTACTCCTCCAAGCATGGGCTGTGCTTGATTTGGTGCTCCAGGCATTTGTACTTGCTGCATGGCAGAAGCACCTGTTATGATGGTGTTGGCACCTGGCTGACTAGACTGAACAGGCCCTGTCACACCTGGTGGACGCCTGTTTGACAGACCTTTCCCAAAGGCTACAGCTGCAACCAACGCATTAGTATCGGCAGAGTTGTATGTCTGTTTGTTCTGTCGTAAACCTGTAGAAGACAGAAAAATTAACAGTGCACGACAAATTATCAGAGCTTTACTCTTTATTTCCCACTGTGCTCTATTACCCTTGTGTTAATCTTTGCTCACATTATCCAAGTGCTACTTTTCTGTTTTTAGGACCGCTGGCCTTGGAGCCTATCAGATGATCCTTGCCCCCCCACCCAACTGGTTCAAAGGTCATACCTCCACTCTCAGATTCTCGTTCTTCTTTGTTGATCTTCTCCAACAAATTCAAGCACATTTTGTTTAGACTTTGGATCTGTTTCTGTAATCAAAGTAATTTACATCAGTCAGGACATCTGTTATCTTTTGCCCCTTATTATTGTTGTTCAGTCGCACAGTCGAGTCCGACTCTTTGCGACCCCATGGACCAGCTCCCGCCAGGCCCTCCTATCTTCCGCCGTCCTCTGAAGTTGGCTCAATTTCATGTTCGTTGCATCTATGACACTGTCTAACCATCTCATCCTTTGCCGTCCCCGTCTTCTTTGACTTTCAATTATTACCTTCTTAAAATTATAGCGAACTCCCCCAAGCCAATTCCCAGACTTTCAAGAACAGGGAAGTACCCATTTATAAAAGGAAATTTATATTATCTTGACAACACTGAGTACATGACGGATACCTAAAAAAACAATGCATACAAAGAACCCTGGATAATCCTCTTTGTTTTCTATTTCTGTAGCCATGGTTTTATAAATAAATAAATAAATAAATAAAATAATAATAGTATTTATATGTCGACCTCTCACCACCAAGCGGTCTTGAGGTAGCTAACAACAGTTAAAATATTAACAGACATAATGAAAACCTAACACAAATAAACCAAAAGGCAGCCCACATAAACAGATTCGGCAAATGAAAAGCTAAACAGAAGAGCTCTGCTTTGCAGGCCCAGTAGAACTTAGATAAATCCCTAAGGCCTGCATACCGTCTGACAGCTGGCTCCACCAAGACAGGGCCACCAGAAAGAAGGCCCTCATCTTGATAGATGCCAGGTAAACATCCTGGGGGCCTAGTACCTCAAGCAGGTTTTGGGTTGAAGAACACAAATTTCGGGGTGGGGGTGGGTGGGGCCATGTTGGAAGAGGCAGTCTGCCAGACCATTTAGGGCTTTAAAGATAATCACCAGCACCTTGAATTTGATCCGGAACTCAATCGGCAGCCAGTGCAGCTGCTTCAAGACAGGATAAATATGATCTCTCAACCTTGCTGCTGCATTCTGGATGGCTTGTAATTTCTGGAGCACCTTCAGGGGCAGCCCTACATAAGAATGCATTACAGTAGTCTAGGCAGGTGATGACTGTGGCATGAATCACTGTGGCTAGGTCAGAATGGGACAGGTATAGAAACAGTTGGTGAGCTTGGCGCAAATAGAAAAATTCCGTCCTTGCCACTGCTGTCACCTGCTTGGCCAGGGACAAGGAGAAATTAACCCAGACCCCCAGACTATTAACAGAGTCCACTAATGAGAGTTGAACCCCATCAGGAGTTGGGAGCGGAAGGCCCCCCGACAGTCCAGACCTCCCCAGCAAGATGATCTCTGTTTTAGATGGATTTAACTTCAACCAGCTCTGCTTCAACCAACAAACCAAGGCTCCAGGGCCAGATCTGCCAGTGGAGAGTCTGGTTGCATATCCAGCAGAAGGAAGAGCTGGGTGTCATCTACATGTTGGCATTCAACTCCAAATGTCCTAATGAAGCTCTGACAGAGGGCACACATATATATTAAATAACACTGGGGAGAGAATCACGCCTTGCGGAATCCCACACTCAAGAGAATGCTCAGCAGAACACTCATCCTCAACTACTACCCTTCAATGGTGACCCTTCAATGAAAGGAACCATGCTAAGGCAGCCCCACGAACCCCCAGTGAGGCCAGGAGGTCGACCAGGATTGAATCATCAACTGTGTCAAATCCAACAAAATCAGCAGCATAGACCCACCCTTATCCTATTGACAGTGAAGGTTATCCACAAAGGCTACAAGTACTGTCTCTGTTCCAAACCCAGGCCTGAAGCCAGACTGGAAGAAGTCAAGTGCTGATGTTTCATCAGGAATCCCTGAAGGTGTTCTGCTATTGCCCTCTCAATCACCTTCCTGAGATAATTATTCTTCTGTCCTATCCTACTCAGTTTAATTACAGTTCGCACTTCTCAAGAGGCAGACTTGCAATCGCCTGTCCTTTCTGAAACTTGCATGACATAATGTTTAATGATATATGTGCACACATACTCATGCATGTGTGTGCACACAAACATGTAATACAACATTCCTTCATTAAGTATCATACGAACCCCAAAGTGGGTTAGTAAATTACTTTTTATTACAAATGAAATTGGGCTCAACACTTTTACTACACAGATTCAAATGTGATAGGGCCTACCAGAGGCCAGACAAAACTGCTTCACAGACTGTTAGATGGTCATCACTGGTGTAGAAGATTAAAGACAACAGCAAGGACATGGAAACTGGTATGCCCTCAAAAACTTGGGGCAATTCTGAATTCCTCCAAGCACAAATAATTACCTGTGCCACATCAGTGCCAATACGAGCTGCGTCTGTGCTCAACTGCTTTTCTTGCTCCTCCACCTCAGGATCAGGCTTTGTCCGCAAATGATCAGGTACAACTTCATGGCTGAACACTGGCACTCGTCCTTCTGTCTGCCGCTGAAACAACCAGACTATCAGTGCTTAAAACCGTATTTTGTGACAAAAGCACAGAATAGTAAGTTAACCCTGTAGCCTTGGTATGAGCTACAGAGACTCAGATGCTACTGGAAATTTGGCTCCAGAATTCCAGGATACCTGCATTTGCAGGGTTCCCATTCCTTTGTTTCTTATGCCCAATAAGGCTAAGGAATGAAGATTCTGTGATTAATTAATCTGAACAAATGAAGGCGTAAGTTTGTCAGGAACTGAGTGGTACCACTGTTTGAAGACATGTTCTTGAAATGTAAACATCAAGCCTCCAGAATCCAAAAGGTGTGTATGCGAAAACATTTCACACACCCTTTCTGGACGACATGCTCATATGCAGTGTACAGTATACACACCACTCTGTAGAAGGATGGATCGGAAGTTACAGTGCTGTGACAGGAATCAGCAAAGGAAGGAGGTGCAAGATGAGTAAAAAAGGACAGAAATATCCCCATACCTTTGTTCTCAGGACAGCAAGAATTAGCAAATTCTGGCCTCTTGCACTATTCTCTTTAGAAGGGGCCAGCAAGATGTGTGCGCTGAAGCCTCTTCATAAATAGATATATCCTCTCCTTCAGAAGGTTTTTAAATCTTTTAAACTATCATCTCCTGCTGCTATTTTGTCCTTGGAAGTTGAACTACTGACATAAAGTAGTGCCTTTCTACAAATTTGGTGTTTTAGTGCCCAGGTGCTTCAGTGTCCCAGTGCCTTAGTGTTAAACAGAGCAGCTGGTGAGTGTTGTTTCTCTTCAATTAATATGGGTGACAAAATTTCAGGCTCTCCACCTTATTCAAGGTCTGCTAAGCAACTGAAAATAAAAAACTATCCTCTAAAAGAGGCCTCAGGAGACCTTACTACAACTTCCACAGATAACAGAGATGCAGTACTTGAGACAGAAGAACTCCCATCTTTGTCTGATAGCTTACTTTCTCTCGGAGAAGTTTCTTTGTTTGACCAGAAGCCTCTTAAGTATAAACTAGAGAAAATGTTAAGTGAATGTGCCAGTCAAGATCAGCAATCCTCTATTTTTGACTTTGTGGCAGAACAATGCTTACTGACAGCTAAAACGGTAATTGTAATATATGAGCAACTCGCCTCTGCGAATAATAAAGTAGAGACACTGTGGGCAACCTTTGACTCCTACATGCAAAAATATTTGGGAGGGAAAGCTCACGCTGCTGGGCTTCCAGAGTCTTATCACAAAGAATTAATTATTGAAGAGTCAGCTGTCAATGATGCTGCAGAAACAGTCAATCTTGAACTACAGCAAGACTGCAATGGGTAATAATGGTGAGTTTGATACTCAAACTAACAAATGGATTCTGCAGCTAAATCAGATTGCACTCCATATTAGTCTGAATAATAATAACAACTGGCAACTTTGGTGCTCCCATAGAAGCATCATTAGGTCCTTCAGCCAACTCTTACAAATCGAGCCTCAATATGTTGTTGACTTAGTCGCCATTAACTGCTGTTTCAGCAGCTAAAATAATTCTCCTAACTTCCATTCAATCTACCTTGTCACTCATGTTGTTGAACATGAAATCTCTATTGCAAAGGCACTATATTATTCCTGTTTGAGTATTTCAGGATATTATTGTTTCTACACTTATTTCCAAGACAAATATAAAGAGGCCTTCTACATTACAGGCAAGAAAAATGGATGATAGGGAGAAAAATAAGAAGTCACCACCTGTCAGTAAACCTGTAGGACCCCTAAATGATACTTTGGTTATGGGTAGGGACACCCATTTTTATCACTGGTCTAGAACTGACAAAAGAGGATCAAGCCAAATCATCGATAGCCTGGCTGAACTTAAGAACTCACTAATCACCCTAACTTCCTCCAGTTTGGTGTTGTGGTTAAGAGCGCGGACACTAATCTGGGAGAACCGGGTTTGATTCCCCAGTCCTCCACATGCAGCTGCTGGTGTAACCTTGGGTCAGTCGCAAGTTCTTTCAGAACTGTTCTCTCAAGAGCAATTCACTCTCTCTTTCAGCCCCACCTACCTCACAGGGTGTCTGTTGTGGGGAGGGGAAGGGAAAGGAGATTGTAAAGATTCTCTGAGACTCCGAGTGAAGGGCGGGGTATAAATCCAATCTCCCCCGCCCATCAAAGCCACTCAAATTACATCATTCCATGGCTCAGGATAACAGCCAGAATACTATGCTAACTCAAAGACAAACAGAGCCTCCAATGATCTCTGCCCAGAACTTTGAACCCACTTTGCTTGACCTGTCTATAAATTGTCATACAGAGCCAATTCATCCATCCTCAGGAGAGGACATAAATCTCCCCCCTTTGAAGAGTTCTTTAGAAAAAATAAATGGTAATTGATTGACTAAAACTAATGAGGCTGTATGCCTAAAAATACTTTAATGGAATATTGTTGGCTGGAAAAGAAAATCAGGTGAAAGTTATTTTTGGCCCCGGTCACACGAGAGGATTTGGGCCGGGAGAGGGATGGATCGGGGGCAGAGCAAACGGGCGCGATCCCACCGCAACATCTGGGAAGCGTTGCGCGCCCGTCCCCGATCCGGCCCTTCCGACAATAACCCGCAGCAAAAAAGAACCACCTACAGAGGTGGTTCTTTCCGAAAGGCCGCATCAAAGCCGGCCGTGGGATCGCCGGTGCGTTCTTCCGCCAGCGCATCCCCGGCTCCTGGCCGAACTGCGCATGCTCAAACATGCGTAGTTTGGCTTCCTCCTCGGTCCCCCCGGCATCTGATCGTGCCGGGGAGCAAGTCCACGGCAGCTCACGAGATCTATATGATCCCGCGTGCCTATTTTGGTGCGGCTTTTTTCCCCTCGTATGGCAGGGACCTTTTAAAACATTTTTTGTATAGATTTGATATCATTCTACTACAGGAAACATGGGTTGAAGCAGATATTTTTCTAAAAGGTTATTTTACAGTTTCTGTACCCACAGTTGCAACTAGCCCTCAGGGTTGCCATAGGGGAGGTTTCTTGTTTTAATGCAATTATATTGTATTTATTTCTGATTCGCAGGAAAGGGCAGCTGATAAATCAAATATAATAAATAAATAAATAAATGTTGTATGTCTTCTCCTTTACAACATTCTTCCCTTTTAATATTACAGGATCTCTATCCTGTCATAGAAGGATTAAATGCTTAAATCTGAACCTCTGACTGTTCTTAATCATCAATTATCTAATGATTCCAAGGAAAGCTATGCTCTTTCTCTATACGATAATCTTATTGCCAACATTAATTCTACTATCCAGTCACAATTCATAGCCCACAAGTCCAGAATTTCCCCCCTGGTTTGATCAGGACTGCCAGGTACTGAAAGCCCAGCTATGAACACTATATTGTGCCCAGGGGTCTTGTTGTAGAAAAAGAGCTGCCGGAGCTCATTAGCATAACTCATTAGCATAACTTATTTGCATATGCCACGCCCCCTGACATCACCGGAAGTGACAGAAGGCCACACCCCCTGACATCACCGGAAGTGTGTCAGAAGGCCCGGCTACTTACCCTCCTGCTTCATCCTCATTCCCAAACGGAATGAGGATCGAAGCAGAGGGCGGGGTAAAGAAGGGGCGGGGCTTCACCACGTGACCGCCCCACCCCCTAGAGGTTCTCTTCCGGAGCTCCATACCTGAGAGCTCCCCCCCGACTAGAGCCCTGAAGATAAATGAAATGAAGGGATCACTGCAAAAGCATCTTTATATGTTTGTGCATACCAAAGAAGCAATTCAAAATTACTGTAGATCAGAAAAAAATATGGCACTAAGAGAAAGATGGAATTTATTAATTAATGCATCACTAAATGATACCAACAAACAATTTTGGACCCTTGTTTCGGGCACTTTATTTAATAGATCTGCCCCCCCTTTATTGTCTAATCCCGGCCTAGACCAGGGAGGACCATCTTACAAATATCTTTTTTTGTCTGCTAGATCATAGTGCTGAGTCATCAGATTTCATTCCTTCTGACTTTCCTGGATGGTTGCCTTAAGTCATAATGAAATCATTAGTTTAATTAATCAGCTAAAGGTAGGGAAGGCCCCTAGTCCTGGTGGACTCCCTCCTGAACAGTTCAAGAAACATTTGGTGTGGTGGACCTCTCCCCTAGCTACTCTCTTTTCTGTTATTGATAAAATGGGGAGAATGCCTGATTCCTGGACTAGGGCCATAGTAGTCCCAAGCCATTAAAAAGGAGACCCACATTTGACAGGAAATTACCGCCCAATTAGTCTTCTGTCCATTTTTGGTAAACTTTATGCAAGGCATTTACTAGACAAGCTCTCCTCGTGGATGAACAACCAAAAAATCTTGGGTAGGGGACAGACTGGGTTTTATGCTAGTAGATCACTCTTGATCACCATTACCCTAGCACATCTGGCTGAGAAATATGCCAGCCATGGCAGGAAGAAACTTTTTGCAGCCTTTCTTGATCTGAAGGGTTCCTTCAACTCTATCCCCAGAAACCTTTTTTGGGAGAAATTAAATAAGACTTCAATTGACAAAATATTACTTTTTCTTATTCAAAAGCTACATTCCCTAACTATTACCATCAGCAGCCTGTGCTTCGCCAGTACGAACGGAGCGAGATGACAGTCCTTAACATCAATGTTGACTGTATCCCATCAGGATTGTACTGCTACCAAGATGATTGTTATTATGCTTCGCCATTGCCATACATCACTGTACTAGCACTTTATGTGTTTTTTTAGCTGTTTTAAATTTAATGTAAGCCGCCCTGAGCCTGCCTTGGTGGGGAGGGCAGGGCATAAATCAAATAAATAAATAAACTAGCTGTCAAGTTCGATATGGCCCTCAAGGATAACTAACTAGAGAGATCGCTATAAACTGAGGTGCTAAAGAGTGATGTGTTCTGGCCCCCACCTCTTTAATCTTTTTATGAATGGCCTCACATCAGCCCTAAGGACAACTGAGGACCACTTTCCTAAACCTGGCTCTCTCTTCCCATTTCTTTACTACTTTGCGTTGACAATGCTGTGATACTATCATTAACGCAATTGGGCTTAAGATGTTTAGTGACTAATTGTGATTCTAATCAGTGGTCTGCAAATGTTGAAAAATCTAAGATCTTGGTCTTCCCTAAGTCTTAGAAGCATTTTTTCTGGAGAAATAGGGGAACTGACACTGAACAGGTAAAACAATTTAGATATTTGGGTCTGAATTTCTAATGCAACAACAACTGGACATTCCACAGAAGTTATACTCTAGCCAATGTAGTACAGCAGGTGTTGTCCATTTCTGTTTTGTACATGGTAGCCAATATTTCACTGCTCCTTTACCTGTATTAAAGGCCAAATCTGTGGCCTAGCTACTATATGGAATCCCTCTACGGATTGGGACATTTAATCAGGGTATTGATAGGATTCAGTCTTCTATTTTGTGCCATATTCTGGATCTTCCTAACTGTGTTGCTTATGCAGCTATGTGCCTTGAAACCAGGCAAGGGCTTGTGGAAACAAGAGCGTGGATTCAGACCATAAAGTTCTGGTTGCTACATAACGACTACGCGTGCAGATTTGTATGTATGCAAGCAGTTGAAGTTAATCGACAGGAAAATTATCTCAATTGGCGTCTCCCCCGACTCTTTCCAGATGCTGGAGAGGGAGTAATCTTTTAGACTGTTGCATCAGAGCCTGTTAGACATAGAAAGGCAAATTTTGTGTTCTCTAGCCAATAGATTTTGCTCTCCTGTGTCCCATGGTGTCGCAGCAGACTATGGTAGTGCAACTGCCTGTTTATCCCATCTGGAATTGCCTCATGATCGCAGAGCCTTTATGCTTGCTCAATTTAATATCTTTCCTTCAGCTAGTCTATTTGGTAAATACTCAGGAACCCCTTCGTGAAAGGTATTGCCCTTGTAGGGCTGGGGTTCTCGAACAATTATCTCACATATTACTTTTATTTTTATCTGGAGCCAAGGAATGTCATTATTAGACCTCTTCTGCATAATGTTCAGGGTCTCCCAGAAGAGTGGCTAGTAATGTACCTCTTGTCAGATAGAAATCCCTATATCAACTTGCAGGTGGCTAAATATTTGCTAGCTGCAATAAGGATCCGTGAGCAGTTTATGTATGCTTTTGGATAATTTTATCTTAATTTTTATTTAATTTTACTTTGCTGAATGTAAAATCTTTTTAAAATATCTCTTTGGTTCTGGTGAGACAAATGCCTAATAAAGGTGATGAATGAATGAATGAATGAATGAATGAATGAAAGGATACCATCCTAAGAATGCAGACTGGACTATTCTACATCTCCTCACAGTTGGGGGAGATAATTTAGAATGTTAACTTGCATTTTTTTTAACCCCTCCCTATCTGCAGCTTTTGCCCTGACCTGGATAGCCCAGGCTAGCACAATCTTGTCAGATCTCAGAAGCTAAGCAAGGTGGGTCCTGGTTAGTACTTGGATAGGAGACCACCAAGGAAGTCCAGGGCTGCTATGCAAAGGAAGACAATGGCAAACCACTTCTGAATGTCTTGAAAACACTTTGAAAACCCCATGGAGTCACCATGTCAGCTGCAACTTGACAGCAAAAGAAAAAAATCTGCAGGTCTAAGAAAACACACCAGAAATTAACTCATCTGTGAACAAGGTTCTACACCAATTTGCTGCCTGCTATACTAATTTTCTACTCAGAGAAATTTCTACCTCTCAGTTCTCCTAATTCATCCTGCGACTTGTGTAGATGAGGACTCTGTTGACAGAGAACAAAGAGATGGTAGGTATTTCAGCAACAGCAGAAGGTTCTCCTCTGCTCTTACAAAATTCAGCAAGGCAGATCTGCACTGTTCTATATGATACGCTTTCCACATTCCCCTTCCCTTCTAATGATAGCTATTGACAAACATAAAAAATAGTTCTGGTTTATTACGTAGTCCAGTGTTCCCTCTAAGCTGAGTTAGTGTGAGCTAGCTCAAATTTTTCAGCCTCCAGCTCACACATTTTTGTCTTAGCTCAGGAAAGATGGCTCCAGAGCAAACTAATTTATGCAGTAGCCAAATCGCTCACTCACAACTTTAATGCCAGTAGCTCACAAAGTAGAATTTTTGCTCATAAGACTCCACAGCTTAGAGGGAACACTCGATATGACCATATTTATTTTGCTGTGGTCTGTGGGCCTGCAAGCACAGCCTAGCAGGCCCAGAGAGCCTGGTAAGCAGTAGGAGGAGGCTGGGCCTACAAATCCCAGAATGCCGTGGGAAGTTTTGGCGCTGATTTTGACCAACAGGGAAGAAGAGGGCTGGGGAATAATATTTAGGCGCGTTAGGGCATTTGATTTCTTTTCTTTTCACCCACTTTCTGTTACTATTCCTGCACATTGTTTGTTTGACCTCCTATAAAATAAACTATTTCTATTGTTTACTCTGCCTGGTCCTCACACCTATTATTCGGCCAAAAGGGAGGTCTGAAGGTCTTGGGAGGGTGCTCTGGGCCTTCGCAAGGGATCCTAAATCCAGAGTGGTGGCAGTGTCAGGTGACACCCCACCTGAGCCGTGACAGGTCTCCTTTTGCATTGTTTGGCCTGCTTCTTCTCTGCCCTGGAGCCAAGGATCTGTACAATTGCAAAAAGATGAAAGTTACCAGCAAGATTCTTACCATAATCTCTTCATCACGGTCTGGTGACAATACTAAGGGAATGATGACCTGATTGCGCAGCAATGGAGTCTTCTCATGCTTCAGCACTTTATTCAGTGTGTTCAGTTGTCCTGACAGTAGTGCAAAGCTGTCAAGCACTGAAGGCCTGAAGCAAAGATAGATAAAGAAAGGATACATGGCATAGGCAGAAGCCACCCCATCTATGTATTTACTACATTTATATCTGCCCTCTCTTCCATCACAGATATTGAGACAGTGCACACAGATTTCTCTGATCCAGGCCATGACCAGACTCAGATCTGCTTAATTTCAGCAAGGTGACTTTTGTATATTTTTCAATCACAAGTTGTACCAAAAAGGGTAGTTAAAATCTTAATTCCTTTAGCCAAAAATGGTAACAGTCAAAATTATAATAACTCAGGGTCCCCAAGGCAGTGAACATTAAAACACATCGAATGTTAAAATTTGATACAAATCCTGAAATATATTGGTGGAAATGAATTTAACTATTGAGGCAACTATTGTGCAGCATACAGGCTCAATTATATGTTACTTGGGGCTGTGCAACAACAACAAACTCTGGCCCTAACTAAGACTGGTCACATAGGCTTCTTCCCAGCCTCTTACCAGGTCAGCCGATCGTATTCATTCTCGAGCTTGTAAATGAAACTGACCAAGGAATTCTTCAGATCAGCTACCTGACTGATGAGAGCCTCTAACGATAGCTCAAGCTGCTTTTCCTCCCTCTGGAAAAGACAGAAAAATAAGGCTTATCATATCAACTCTGCAGATCAAGGGACCAGTTACACGGCCCATGGTCTCCCTGGTGACTCTCTCTATAACATCAGCATATGGTCTGATCTGTTTACTCTTGTCCAGTCACCCAGTCTCCTTTGATTTCTCTACAGAATGCTTCAGACATAACACGGCACCACTAAAGAAAGGAAATATGTGCTGGGTAGGGGTGGTTGAAGGAAAACTGCTCTTACAAAAAGTATGTTGTCCTTGTAAATCACTAACTATAGTGCTGCTAGATCAAGATGAGTAGCCATGTTAATCTGTCTGCAGCAGTAGAAAAGTGCAAGAGTCCAGTAGCACCTTAAAGACTAACAAAATTTGTGGCAGGGTATGAGCTTTTGTAAGTCACTGCTCACTTCTTCAAATAAGAATATATAAGACAGTGTTGTTAGATTCATTATAGGTTATATTATGTAGAAAAAAAGGAATTTAAAGAGGTGCTACTTTTCCTATTACATCCACTGTCTTCAATGGATTTAGAAGGATGCAACTCTTCTTAGAGTGCCACTGTTCATCTCACAGTGACCAAATAACTACTGATACACATGATATGTGTGCGTGCACACAAAAGCTCATACGTTGAATAAAACTTTGTTGGTCTTAAAGGTGCCACTGGACTCTAACTTTGTTACATAACAAAACAGTCATGGCAATCTTCAACCACAAGAAAGGTGAGACATAAATATTTTAATAAACATTATTGACCCAATTAGCTTGCAATGATAACTCTTCAGTGTGAGTAGGATACAGATGAAAACTTGTTGAGGAAGCAGCTGGCACTACAAGGCGTGTATGTTATCATAAGGAATGCTCACTGATTTGGATCTCACCAACAATTTACACAGGTACAAGAAGGGGGCAATTTCTGCCTATTGTCCCCTCTCGTGGGAGACTTCTGATTCCACCTAAAGCAATTCCTGGGGTTTCCTGGTCTCTGAAAAGGAGCATTTCGGGCTTCTGAAGGAGGGAGAAATTGGCAAAAAAACACCCCTCTTCCTTGTGGCTGTAGAAATTCCAGGCAGGATTCAAGATATCATTTATTCTGGGAACCAATTCGTGCTTTCTACAATGAGCTGCCTCTAACAGCAGTTTGTTGTATTGTTGTATACATACATACATTTTAAAATCTGTCTTAATGCTTTGACTCTTTGCAACTTCAAATGGGTGGAAAGATAGCACAGAAATTTTTAAAATAAAACAAACGAATAAATAAAGGGGATTAACTGTGTCCTTCCTTGTGTTTGTTCACTCCAGATATATGAGCGTCATAGGTTGGATCTAGCAATCTGTCAGTTAAAGACACTAATGGTCGCAGGTCTTCCCGGCCTTCCCTTATTCCGCAGAAGTCCTTTCTGACCTCGGGAAGTTTAATTCTGGTGTTATGGGATTCCCGCTTGGAGTAACAGCGGGTCGGCGGGTTGCAGTGAGGAGAGGGAAGGACACAAAACCATCATTTCTGCCTCCTCCGTCCGCGGCTGGAAAGGACTGGAGCCGAGCAGATCTGTCACGCGCTCCTTGCGATGGATCCAACCCACTGCCCGATGCCCAGGGAGGCAGCAGGCCCAGCCTTTTCAACACGTCTATTCAGGCTCGCAGCTTAACCCTGTTGCCCAAAACCGGTTAGCTGAAGAGGTGCAAAAGCGAAGCTATGAGCTCGCTCCTCTCCATAAACAACCGGCAGGAATACCGCTCACTCCGCCAGAATAACCACGCTAGCCCTTTAGAGGCAAGAGAGGCGTTTCTTCTGCCTCTTGATAAGGAGGCCACCGTCACCTGCCACAGTCTACCCCTCTGCTCCAGGGGGAATAATTATAGGCTTCCCCCCCCCTCCCCCATTGCCCGAGCTTCACCTGCATCGCGACAGACACCGAAGACGGCACCGAAGAGTCTTCCCGTCAAGGCGGGATCTCGCGTACACGACTTCCTCTTCTGGGTTAGTGCGTCATGAGGTCGAAGTTTACGGCGCTGGAAGGTGTCAGACATGGCGGCCTCGGAGAGGGGAGATGATGAGGTATCGCCCTTCCGCGAGTACTATGCGGGTTGGCCTTGAGGAGAGGTGACGACACGTGGGGAGTCCTGCAGACAGTGTGACTCCAAGGGAAGCTCGTGCAGCCAGTGTCCGTCTGTCTTGTGACGACGGAGCGGCAGGGGGCTTGGATACAGAGGGAGTTCCCTCAAGAGTGGGGGGAATGACCATTTTAGCTGATACAGACTGTAGATTTGGAATGGGACAGGAGTGTGGCTGTGGAGGGACGCTGTGATCCTCTACTTCAACCCTCTGCCTCAGATTAGACCTTAATATTCTCTGTACTTAAATTGGTACAGCCTGGACTGGAGGCTTCCATAAACAGCAAATATCTGCTGTCACACGGACAGTTGTTTGAGGAATAGAAGTGCAGATAACTTCAGTAAATGGGCCACCTCATGTAGACTCTGGAGAGGCTGCATATAAATTCCATAAGGAAATAACAAATAACTTTCTGGAAAGGTTAGGCAGAGGAGTGTGTGAGCTCCAGATTGCAAACAGTAGGTTTTTAAAAATGGGTAGCGCTGTTCTGTTGGTGCCAGTATCTTGGACTCTGCATATCCCTTGCCATTGTCACTGCAGTACCCAAGCAGCCATGAAACTCCCTTCATTTGTACTGTTGGCACAGTGGACTCGTGATTATATGCTATGTTCAGGTCAGCCTGTTGCTGATGTTATCTCACCTTATCTCTTGTTACATAAGAACAGCCTTGCTGAATCTGGCCTAGTATGCAACCGTAATCTGTTCCTCTAGATAGAAGAATTGGTAACAGACAGTGTATGAGATACACATTAGGTGTTACATCACTATTGTTGGACCGTATTCTGCTGTAAGAATGTCCAAACGTTTTCATTTCAGAGATGTATTAGGCTGCAATTTTGTGCCCAGTGCCTCTGACCTGTGTCTGATTTCCAAGTAAACAAATTATAAATCACACAAACCACAGATATAATGAAAAATGCCACCTTACTTAGTTTGTATATGTTGCTGTTTAATCCCAAACACCAACAACTGATCAGTTCTGTTCAAGATTGTAAGGCAGTTTTGGTGAAATGCAAACATTGATGTGTTCTGACAGTATATCAAAGGAACATGGATGCTTGCTAGGTGACCTTGAGCCAGTCAGACACTCTTAGCCTAGCCTACCTCACAGGGTTGTTGTAAGAAAACAAATGGAAGAGAGAAAAATGATGTAAATTGCTCTAGGATACCCACAGGGAGAAAGGTGAGGTATAAATGAAATAAGTAAATCAGCTAAATAGAAATTTAATTCCCTGGTAGTTTTAGTGAAGAGCCATTGTTGTTCCTATCCTCTTGTGTGTTTGTTTAGTTTTGACCACTGTTACTATTACTAATCAAGTCTGCCTCTTGTGGTAATTATATTTTTGTGTCAAAAATGTTAATAAGCAGAATTGTTAACAAATTCTATAAGCACTTGAGCATGCTACATGATGAAAGTTGTCTTCCTTTATTATCTGCAGGTAGAGGAGGCTGGGCAGGTATTTCTTTTGATGAAGAAAGACTACCGGATTTCACGCAATGTACGCCTGGCCTGGTTTCTTAATAATTTACATCAAGTTATTTTGGCAGTGCCTGAATCAGAGTTGGTGAGTGAGCCACATTTAGGCCTATTTCTGAATGAAAAAATCCCAAGGTGGAAAAAGTAAGACATACTTTGGGTTGATGAGAAATGAAATGCTTCATAGGAAAGCTTCCTGTGGTTTGTTTTTTTTTACTTGCTCATTTCTTCTCTTTTCGTTGTGCTTCTGTTCATTTCCCCCCCCCCTTTCTGAAGGTGAATTCAGACAGTGAGTTGGATATTCTCAGCATACTACCAAGTAGCTGGCAACCTGATGAGCCTGTGCAACCCAGGCCTTACCTATTGGTGCCTTCTACAAAAGTCACCTTCCTTGCACGCCAGTACCGTTTCGTGATTGAACTAGACTTGAGTCCTTCTACAGGGATTGTGGTAAGTTTGTCAGTCCTCCAAGTAACTGAGCATTTACAGTTAGGCTTGCCAGGTCCTCTCATTGCTCCGGTGGGGGATTTGGGGGGTATTCTGGAGGTGGGCGGGGATGCCCAAGCCCTGCCCCCAAGCCTCGCCCCTAAGAGCGACCACCTACCCGGCCACCCCTCTCCCTCCCCTCCTGCCAGATTCAAAGGGCTTCAGCTGATTGGTGGGGACCACATGGCCTGCCAATCAACTGGAGGGCCCTTTAAATCTAGCAGGAGGGAGAAGGGCGGTCTCAGCCTGCATGCTCAGCTCGCAAAAAGACCCTTTAAGGGTTTTTTTTTAAACCCCTGCTTTCTGCTCTTCAGGAAAAACAGCTCAGCTATTTGGTTTACATGGCTGGAAGTTCAGCTGTTTACAGGGGCTTCCTTGGGCAGCCAGTCTCTGTGTCTTGATGCCCAAGAAAGCCCCTTTAAACAGCCAAGCCACACAGAGCAGTTTGCTTCACATGGCTCAGCTGTTTAAAGGGGCTTTCTTGGGTTCAGCTCCGAACCATTTAAACCACTGCTTTCTGCTCCCTGTGGAAAGCTGTGGAGAGCAGAAAGTAGTGGTTTAAATGACTTGGAGCTATTTAAACCCCTGCTTTCTGCTCCCTGCCACTTCTGGGTCACGAACCAGTCTCCCGATTTGTATAGGATTGCGGTTCGGTTTGTGGTTTAGCCATGAACTGAACCATAAAATGCAGTTCATGCTCATCCCTTGTGAAAATCAGTCTGTAATAATAAAATAGCACAGCTGTGTGCTTCTGTTACTCTTTTTACTTCCTTATGCTGGAAATGCTTCCTCCCTTAGGCTGGTCCAGGAGACTTTATATCAGTCATAAAGAACAGCCAGCTAGGAGCTATTTTCTGTCCTGATGGTGTTCATGCAGGTGCTTTGTCTGCTGGATGCACCTGACTTACATGTTTCCAGGAATGAGTCTACTCTATATGTTGACATTATAAACATCTCTAAAACACATGCCTCTGGTAGTTCTTCTACCCTAGAACCAAGTTGGGCAGAAGGTTTGACTGTCTTTCAATTTTGTCTTCTCCAGGATGATTCCACAGGAGAGATAATTTTTGATGAAGTGTTCTATGCCCTTTCTCGATGCTTAGTGGGGTTGTTGAAACCCTTTCGAATCCCAGGCTCAGACATTATCTACCAACCTGAGATCTTTATTACTATCCAAGCATATTCTTCCATCATTGGCCTACCGACACACCAGGTAAAATCTTATGCCTTCTGTTTCTCCAGCATAATTGTATGAGAAGGTGCTATCCTAGGGACCCAAAGACATGCTGTACTATAGCCATCATTTCCTGCTGCTAGGAAATGTGACATAGAAGGCATTTGTCAGATGGAGCCTGCAATACAAATGTGCTCTCCATGACACTGTATATGTGTTCATCTTCCAAACTAACTGTGAAGATGAGTTACCTTTCCTGGCCTTCCTAAAGTTTTACTCCTGATCATCATGCTTCTTCCTGGCAGTAGTCTCAGTGCAATCAATGGAACAGCTGCACACTTCTAAGTCCAGTGAAGCCAATAGGCTTAGAAGAGTGTAACTCTGCTTAGATAGGTATCGTTAGTTGCATATTATTGTAATTCTCTGCATAAATGATTGGCCAATGTCCACTTTCAAGATTCCTGAAGATAATTGCCCAATTTCTGTGGCAAACAGGAATTGCACAAGTAGAACTGAGTTCTTAGTTGTAGTGAACAAAACATATGCAAGAATTGAAAGTTGGATCCAGATTCACCTATGACACAGACTAAGCCACATTAACATAGGAGAAGAAGGTAAAGTGCCTGGGGCTACAGGCAACTTTTCCACTGTTGTAATCCTTTTTGTATTTTTGTTCACGGTGCCACAAATGACATGCAGAGTGGATGGAGTTTGATAAGCTGGGGGGGGGGGTCAACAGTGGGAGGGCTTCTAATGTCCTGGCCCCACTGGTGGACCTCCTGATGGCACTGGTATTTCTGGCCACTGTGGGATACAGAGTGTTGGACTGGATGGGCCTTTGGCCTGATCCAACATTGGCATCTCTTATGTTCTTATGTTCTTATGTTCTTATGTTCTTATGCTATGGCTTTTCATGTAATCTTGCATCCTTTCATCACTGTGATGTGCATTAAGCAATGCTGCCATGTGGTTCACAATGGAAAGGATTGCAGCTTTCATCCTAATAAAGCCTACACGTGGCATTTTGATTACCATTGTAATAGTTTTTTAGGCTAGGTAAATTCTGAAACCTGAACATGTTTTACATTTAGAACATTTGCATATATTTGCATATTTCAGATATTGTTATTCTCTGAGCCGTAGAGAGGCACACGCGGCTATGTAGGATATGAAAGTGCTTGCCCCCAGACCACCAGAGAAACCATCTTTGCCAGCTGAGATTTCTCCTGGCATCATCCACAGTCTTGCAAACCTTTTGTCACAACCATAAGGGCTAAACAATTGTCATAAAAATGAAAACTGAGATATTTAGGGTGCCGAATTCTACAGACACTACTGAATTCTATGCCTGTACATACAAGTCAAGGGTATTGACATGCAGTACAGTGAGGAGGTAGAATTTTAAGTTGGTAAATTTGGCTGCATGAAGGGGTGTCACATTTTTATTGGCCCCCATGGAAGGAAAAGCACATAAGGAAGAAACGTTTCATTAAGAACATAAGAGAAGCCAATGTTGGATCAGGCCAATGGCCCATCCAGTCCAACACTTTGTCACAGATACCATCAGGACACTAGAAGCCCTCCCACTGTTGCCCCCCCCCCAAGCACCAGGGGGTCAGTGCATCACTTGCCCCAGACTGAGAGTTCCTATCTATACTTTGGGGCTAATAACCACTGATGGACCTCTGCTCCATATTTATTTATTTATTTTTCAAATTTCTACCCCGCCCTCCTGGCCAAAGCCGGCTCAAGGTGGCTTACATAAAAACAGATAAGTTACATTAAAACATAAGTTAAAATTAAAACAATTCTAAAACCATAATAAAGTGCTAGTAGTCGTTGTTTGTATGATGGTAGTGCCCCCTGCCTTCTGAGGTTAGACAGGTGGCAACTAAGTGAGGGTCTTCTTGGTATTGGCAGGGCCGGCTCAAGGTGGTACTGAGCCCTAGATGAGGCCACCTTGGGGCGCCCGCACCGCCAGGCGATGCCAGCCTCCCGGTGGGGCCTGGAGACGGGGGGAGGGGAGGGCGCCGCCATTACCCCTGCAGGAGAGCGTCGCCCAGAAATGGGTTTTTTTGAAGAGTTTTAAAAGCGCAGCTCCCCGGCCCTCCCCCCCCGCTCCGGCCGACATCGCCTCATCCCACCTCCCCGTGCCCAGGATGGAGCAGTTGCAGTGGCAGAGGAGGGCTGGGGGGCTGTGCTTTCTCTCTGGGTGCTGTCTCGCCGCTCAGGCCCCCCCCCCGCTCCGGCCGACGTCGGCTCGCACTGTTGGCAGGTGGCGCTGCCTCCTCACCCCACCGCCCTGTGCCATCACGGGCACGGGGCGAGGTGGCGCTGCCACCCGCCGATGGTGCGAGCCCGCGCCGACGTCGGCTGGAGTCGGGGGGGGCTGAGCGGCGAGACAATGCCCGGAGAGAAAGCGCAGCTCCTCAGCCCTCCTCCGCCTCCTCTGCCACTGAAGCTGCTCCATCCCGGGCGCGGGGCGATGGGGCGAAGAGGAGGCGCCGCCCGCCGATGGCGCGAGCGAGGGGGTTGAATGGCATGACAGTGCCCTGCTGGAGAGCAGTTTGATGCCCTAAGGGCTGATGGGGCGAGGAGGAGGCGCCGCCCGCCGACGGCGCAAGCGGGGGGGGGCTGAGCAGCGAGACAGTGCCCGGAGAGATAGCGCAGCTCCCCGGCCGTCCTCCGCCTCCTCCGCCACCACAGCTGCTCCATCCGGGGCGGTGGGGCGTGGAGGAGGTGCTGCCTGCTGACAGTGGGAGCCCGCGCTGACGTCGGCCGGAGGGGGGGGGGCTGAGCCGCGAGACAGTGCCCTGCTGGAGAGCAGTTTGACGCCCTAAGGGCCGGCTCGTGCTCTAGGCGAATGCCTAGTTCACCTAGCGGGTGAGCCGGCCCTGGGTACCATGACTGTGGAACTCCCTCCCTTGGGATATTCACTTGTCCCCCTTCAATCACTGTCTTCCACATGTTTATTTGATTCCCTCTTGAAGCTGTCCATGCTTGTAGCCGCTGCCACCTTCTGTGGCAGTGAATTCCATGTGTTAATCACTCTTTGGGTGAAGAAGTATGTTCTTTTATCTGTTCTAACCCGACTGCTCTGCAATTTCATTGAGTGCCCACGAGTTCTTGTATTGTGAGAAAGGGAGAAAAGTACTTTCTCAGCCTGCTCTGTCCCATGCATAATCTTATAAACCTCGATCATGTCACCCCTCAGCCGTCATTTCTCCAAGCTAAAGAGCCCCAAATGTTTTAACGTTTGTTCATAGAGAAAATGTTCCAGCCCTTTTATCATTCTATTTGTCCTTTTCTGCACTTTTTCCAGTGCTGTAATATCCTTTTTGAGGTGTGGTGACCAGAACTGTACACAGTACTCCAAATGAGGTCGTACCATTGATTTATACAGGGGCATTATGATACTGGCTGAGTTGTTAATTCCTTTCCTAATAATCCCCAGCATAGTGTTGGCCTTTTTTATTGCAGTTGCATACTGTCACAACATTTTCAGTGAGTTATCTACTATGATTCCAAGATCTCTCTCTCGGTCATTCTCTGCCAGTTCAGTGGTAGAGTCCATCCTACCACCTCATTCCATCTCATTTTACTGCATGGCAAACCAGACCATAGTCAGCTATGAAATTTACCCAGCTCTGATTAATGAGAAATCTTGAGTGTTTTAATTTGGCCTTTTCTTATCTCTTCTCAGACTCCCAGCCACAAGTAAACAAAGATTGTTGGGGATTCTCTCTTTACAAACATTGATTGTCATCAAATTTATGTAGTCTTGCAGCAGTTATTTAGTATTTGGGTTGTAGATTTTTTGTTAATGCTTAGCCATCTCACTAGATATGCATATTTTCTGTTTATCCTAATTATCATTATTTTTAGCCAGTTCGGTGTAGTGGTTAAGTGTGCGGACTCTAATCTGGGAGAACCGGGTTTGATTCCCCACTCCTCCACTTGCACCTGGCTGGGTGACCTTGGGCAAGCCATAGTTCTGACAAGAGCTGTCCTTGAAAGGGCAGTTCTTGAAAGAGCTCTCTCAGCCCCACCTACCCTACAGGGTGTCTGTGTTGGGGAGGGGAGGGGAAGGGAGATTGTGAGCCACTCTGAGACTCTGAGTGAAGGGCGGGGTATAAATCCAGTATAATCTTCTTCTCTCTTGTTGGCTTGATTTATCTTCCATTGTGTATGCATACTTGTTATATTGGAGATGTCACAAGAACAGTCCTCCTGTGTATACCCAGTGTTCAGTATGATGAGCCTGACCTTACAAAATAAAGAGTGGGTCCTCCTCCTGATCTTTTAGAGCCATGCCCCTATTCTTTGCCATTAGCATTTGTGGCTTGAATGTGCTTGAAAACATTTTCTTGGGATGGTGGCTGTTTTGCCCCATCCCTTGATCATCCTTTCCCAACTCCCCTCTCTTTCTGCTTACTGTAACATGTGAGTTACGTCCACTACATTTCTTTCTGTTATGTTATAAAAGTGAAAGGGAGAACACATGCAGCAGTCTTGTTGCCCCATAGACCCACATGGGAGTACCAAGAATGTCACAGATCAGCAGTATCCATCAGCCTCTCTCAAAGCAGCCATAGTGTGCTACTGCATTTTCTCATTAGGAGAAATGCTGGAGCATGCTGTAATCTTGATATTCCATTTCTCTCTCTGTGTGTGTATCTACCAGCAGCAACAGGGGAAGCAGCATCATGCCTTGTAGCTGAAGGCAACTTTTAGAAATGCAGAGATATAAAAATTATGGACATTTTGAAGCTATGAGACAAGTTTTTGTGTGTGTGGGGGGGGGAATAGACTGACATTTGAGGGAAATTGAAATATATGTAATACTTAGCTATCAAACCTAAATTTATTTTACTGCTTTAACAACATAAAAATGTACTATTTACAACTTGGCAAGCATATAGAATTGTACTATTTGATGTATTTATGAAATCTATAAGTATAAACCCTTATTGTGAGTATACTCATTACTGAAGAGAGACACCTGTGAACTGCTACACCGTATGCTGCCAAAGCATGTG